CCCTGCTTTGGAATTATGTTTTAGTGTTTACCTATATGAATGTTCAGGGCCCTAAATGGGGAACCTATTGCGTTTTGGCAGCTACATTCTGTCATTGTTTATTCTTAGTTCATTAGTATCTTTTGATTTAATTTCATGTTATTCCTTTTAATTTCAATACGTTACGTTACCTTTGTTCATTAGTATCTCTTGTTTTAATTCTCATCCGTTTATCTTGTATTTCAATCCGTTACGTACCCTTTGTTCACTATTATCTTTTGTTTTCTGTAACTTGTTACGTAACCTTTGTATAGTTAGTGTCAATTTGGTAATTGTTGTCCCTCGTATTTAACTCTCGTTTTATTTTTTAGCTCATTTTTTTCTTTATCATCCAAATGTTGTCCACTTTTGGTCTCTTTTAACTTTTATATACATATATAATGGTATTCTGGGTAGAACGTATTTAGTAGAGCGCTCAATTCGTTTGATTGAAGAGCATTGACTATAACTTCACAGGAGTTCAGGCTTCAGGGATAATCATCGTTTACTGCGACAGAGCTGTCTCTTATGGTCCGAAATTATAGGAACACACTCCTTAGGCAACTTCGACGATTGACCGTTGAAATTAAAAGCGGTCAGTTAAATTTGGATGGTTGTTATGGAGATGCGTTATATTCACACGCTGGGGCCCATAGGACGTAAACAGCTGCAACCTAGGAACTACTTTTGCATTTTTTATTGTCGTAACACTGAGCTGGTTATTAAAACATCTGCTCGGTTCAAATAAAACCTGTATATGCTTACAAGATTGTTTATAGCTTCGATCTATTCACTCTGCTTGCGAAATATAGGACCAATTCATAAATATGTAACTGAGATTAATAATATTATGCTTTAGCCAATTGGTATGACCTTTTTTTTATTTTCATTCCAAATAACTCCTTCTCTCAGTTTCTGGAGCCTTAATTCCCTTCTCCTCAGTAGAGTGCAAAACTGAATAAATCGGTCATTACAATCTTTAGCTCTTGTATATGTTTTCTTACATTGGAAAAGGTTAAGATTCTTAATTTAGAAAGTGTTGTGACATCAAACGAACTACCTGTTATAGCTCTTATTTCCTATTGGCTATTTTACTTTCAATATCAATGTTGTGCAAGTTAAATAGTAGAAAGGAAATTTGCATCGAGTCAACAGTTTTTGAAATGAACCTACTATGTTTTAATTTCGGCTATGGAGGCTTGAATTTTCATTTTAAAAAGAGGCTCAGAAAAAAATAATTTATTTAGCAAACGTTTAATAAAAGGGATTCTTCGCGATATCGGCTTTTCTCACTTCTCAAATGCAATGACGCAAGCAGAAGTCAATATAGCTTAATAGGCATTTTTATTTTACCTCTTCCACACTTGAAACGTGTAATTGACAAGTGTAGCCATCGAGTCTGAGAACAATAGCTACATTTGTAAATTACACGTGTAAAAGTTTTATTAAATTGACCCCTGATCATTTCTGGATGCATCTTTTAGCCACGAACAATGAATATCGCGGACGGGACATTTCTTAGTAATTTTTTGGATTTTGGCCAATTTAGTGTAGATTCAAGAGAGGTTAATATAGAAAATAGCCCAAAAAGATTGATGTTTTTTCTCGTTCTACTCTCTACATTTGGCGTGTAAATTCGTCATGCTGTTGCGTAAACTCGTCATTTTGCTCTTGCATTCAGTTAGTTTTTTCCTCTATAAAGGGACGGTCCCCATAAAAGTAACGAAAGCCATTCATACTGCCCTGAAATGGTCGAAACACGCAACGCCTTCTAGCTTAAACTCGGTAAACAATTAACAGTGCCCGTATTTGAAAGTACCCGGATGTTGCTCAGACGACCGAACAGAACCGAATTTATAACTGGGCGTGCCCTTCAGCTCAGTGATAAAACTACTAGGCGGCCGACCGCAGCAGAACACATGAATTTTGTACAATTTCTCCCACTTCCTCACGGTCCTCACCACCCAGCCTCCAGAAAATCAAAGCCAGATAGTTTGCGAAGGTCGATGCCAAATATGGTCAAGGTTGCTTGCCTCTAATGACCTACAGTGACGCCTCGAATTTTCACATGCGCCCCAAAATTGCCATCGTTATAAGATGTGGACCAATTTGGTCGATTATAACGGCAGTATGAAATTCGAATTAAGGACAATTGACCCTTGTCACCTTCATAAAACACAGAATTGGAACAAAACAAAAAGTTGGATTAAAATTTAACCTCAGGTTTGGGTTCTCCGGCCTTCGAAAACTAAGCCCACTTGTATGGTTCTTAATTTTTGATCATCTTTCACGAATCGCTTCCAGTCGCTACCAGTTCAAAAGTTACCCTTACACTGCAGCACAGCAACTAAAAAGTCTCTTAAGCTAGATGTTGGCGATAATTAATGAGGCACGTAATCCGTTTGATGGCGCTGTTTGCGACGACCATGAAGTAGGTAAAGTTATCGTATAGTAATGAATTGCAAGAGAACCAGATGGAACTGTTCGGTTCAAAATGTAATATTGTCCAGTTAGAAACGGGGGGGG